AAAAACAAACCAAGCCAATACTCCCCCACCCTTAAATTCCAGAAGAGCTTTCTAGCTTTCTTTTTCTAATACATTAGGCCTAATGTATTATACATTATAATGTATTATACATTATAATACATTATTTTTCTAATAATTAGGTAGGCATTGGCCTACCTTCCATCTCCCACTTTGGATATTCCACATTTGCCCTGTATGGAATTTGCAATGTCATTCTGCCATAAAAGCTAGAGCCTAATAAAGGAGTGTATACGTATATATTTTTACATGTGTGTGTGTATGTATATTTATTTGCATGTATAGACAAGGAAATCCTTGCAGTTGCCTCCAGTGTAAAGCATAGTAACCTATGACAGTATATTAAGAAGCTAAGAAATTTTACATCGTTATGACAATTCCTGCAGTCTTTATTGCAATCACTAAAGGCAGAAATTACCTTGTCTTTAAGCAACTGGAAACTCTAGAAAGAGGTTCAGAGGTGCCTAAATCACAGCTAAGCATTAGGCCATGTTTTATGGATTACAGCCTGGAAGATGCTCTTTGTCCAGTTAAAGATATGCTCCCGAGTATGTAAGAATTTGAATGCAATCTGCTCATTAGAAAGCATTCTATCCAAACCAATTATCCTTGGTGTCTTAACAATAAAACTTAATCTGGTTAAGTTATATATAATACATCTTAAAATTAATTTGGGCACACTAGGGATAATGAAGCTGTAGTGGCATAGAAAATTAATCCAGCACTTTCCTATCTAAGGATGCCAACATAATTAAGCATCGACGTAACTGGGAAGTAAGTTTGATGCCTTTAAGAACGGCCCCCAAAATTAAATATGACTAAAATTCTTGGCTTAACATGGTCTTAGGTCTGAAATTACCAATACTGATAGTATTAGTATCAGTTCAGGTCCAAATAAATTAAACCTTTCCTGCATAAAGCTGCAAGTTAACTTCACCAACCACTTTTGTAAACCGTGTAATTTCTTGAGCTAACACTTCAAAGTTATATACATGTGTCAAAGTGGAGTCCAACACTTACTTTTAGACAAGGAATAATTTAAGCAAAGATCGGCAAATCCCTTCAGAGGTCTGTTGTGTTCATCCAAGACTGAATAGGGCGTTCACCAGCTGAACTTGATACTCAAGTTCATGACCTTTTCCTATTGGAACATAAATCCATTACAGCTCCAATTTTCTCATTAAAAGCTATCTGGCCACCTTATGCTATAAGCTCCAGGAATAAAATGACACTGCTAAATCTAAGGCAGTGCAAACAAGAACATACAGCATAGTATGTTTTCTTGAAGAGTTACACATGCTCTCCTTTATTCGCCTTGGTCTATCACACCATTTCAGGCTTCCTTATTTGCCATCTGGTTCCTGTTTCAATCTCACTTGTCTTTCATCTGGCTCGTGGCCTCCTTTGTTTTATCCCTCTCTCCCTACTGCGCACAACGTGAACTCTCAGTTAACTTTCAAAACCACACTGGTCATAGAATGATGCAAAAGGAATTTTATAGACTTTAAGACCAACAGGGAACATTATGGTCCCTGAGCTTGACCTGCAACACAGGTCCTGCAACCTCCTTGAGCTGCAACACAGACCAAAGAATCCAACCCAGTAATTTCTATGTCAAGCCTGTAACCTTAGTATGACCAACAATGCATCTTTAGGAAGGATACTTATAAAGATCTGCCAGATCTGTGTGATCGTGTACTGCAGTTCTGTCAGTAACAGCAGCAAATGACAGGAGACGGTTGCCCAGGTTTATTCTGATGCTTAAGATTAGTAACTACCTGGATGATCAAAATGAGCTATTTAACACCATCTGGATAGACAGAATCCTGGTGATCCTAGGAAAAGACTTCTGCAGGGAGTGTGTAGAAGCAACACCTTGGCGGCTGGGGGAATACATTAAATGTACAGGAGACACAGGAGCTTAATGGAGAGGTATTCTTAAACTAAGGCCTTTGCTCTTAACCTTTTTGCTAAGGTTGTTTTAATTCTTACTTCATTGCTCGTTCTATCCTCTGCTATACAATCAAGTTTTGTACAGTCAGGCTGACCATGATAGGTCTTTATTCTTCATCATGGTGCTTCTTTCAAAGAAGAATGTTCCTCTATTAACATATTCTCATTAGTAACCAACTCAGAGATTCTCTGTTTTCCTGCTCCATCTGCTGGTGTCTGAGTGTATCACAGCACAGGGCAGTTAGAACTACTCGGCTTTGTGGGCACCACCAACGTAGAAGACTTAGAGAAAAAAAGGAAGTTTTCTTATCTTGAACAAGAGAGTTCTGATTCTTGGTGGAAAGTAAGCACCTATATATCAAATCGAATGGACTTCAGAAATTGAACCAAGCATCTTACTTTCAGGAATCATAAAGTAGGAATTTGCATATGGGAATTTAACTGAAACATAACGTTCTTTCTACCATATTGAAACATTACAAGAAATACCTGCCTGAATTAGTATGTTAAGTTTCAAATGAGATATTTAAGATATTGGAATATGCCTCCCACGCTCCTGCTTAAGCTGTAAGAAGTTGCAAATACCCACACATTTAAAACATGTAATTTATACAGCATACAAAGAACAGCTAAAGTTGTTAGTTTTAAAATTTACTAACAAAGTTTTCTGCATTTATGCATGTGCTTTGACACACAGCCAAATAAAAAATTCTAATTTATATTTTAAAAATGTTTCTTCAGCAAAAAGCAAGCAAGTACATGGAAGTATCCTAAAAGGCCATTAGTCTTTTGCTAACATGGCTTACAGCCTTCCATTCTTCCCTCTCTTTACATGGTGACTGCTATTACATGAGGCAGAGATGCTGCTGGAAGAAGGTCAGTGCCAAAGGCACTGTGTTATTTTCTTTCACCAACTGCAATACAGAGAAGGGCAGCACTCATAAGCAGCATGTGATTCTCCTTGAAAACATGGAAATTATTGCTTAATTGTCTGACCATAGTGACCCAGATACATGCCATATTTACAAGGGACAGGGTGTGTCCTGTGAACAGCCTAATACCTAATCTACCCATCTCTGTACACTTGCCCAGAGCAGCAGTCAGCACAATGCTGAGGTTTGTGCCAAACAGAATCCTCCTTCACAAAAAAGGGCTAAGCTAAAGGACTTATTAAAGTGACATTTTGGGTAAGACTTTATTAAATTTCTGCTTCAGAGAGTCACTTTGAGGATTTAAGGTCCTATAGCAGGAAAAAGGTGAAAGGAACCCCTGCAAAGTGCGAGCAGGCACGCCCATCATGCTGTTAGGCACTTTGGAAAGCCCAGAGAGTCTCTAGGTCAGAGTCTGATTTGGGCAGGACAGACAGCTACTTCTGCTTCTCCTACAGCAGAGCTCTGGACTTTCTTTAATGGACCAGCATGATATAAGATGCATGATCAGAGAAAGAAGTGGCCAACACTAACTTAAGCCAGCTAACATTAAGTCTCTTGCATTTGCCATTTCTAGGGAATGGACAAAACTAAACAAGCCTGGCACGTAACTTACGACTGGCCAAAAGCTCCTTTAACAACCGCATACAAGCAGTGCTGGCCTTCACCCAAACTTTCCATCATACCTTGCAATCCAGCCATCTACAGCTTGGTTAATACAGTAAAAATAACCTCCTGGGGGATTTTTAAATTCTTCCATTTGCTTTTAGTCTACCTAATGATTTCTGCTGCCTCTTTTTCACAGTTCATTTGGAGTTATATCTGGGAACATTCTCAGCAGTCAACAACTGATCTGCAGTTACCTCATCACCATGACTTCTGCCTGCCCTTGGTCTTCTCTGCAACATGATGGGTGGCAGTTCAGCATACAGCTGAATCGGGTCATCAGGCTTGATACTGAGAGCTAGAGCTGGGAATATTGGAAAGGTGGAAATTTCATTAAAGCCTGACAGTAAAATGGAGTTTACCTTGCTATTATTAAGAAAGACAAGGTTTATAGAGGAAGACTGGCCACTGCATTGTAACCTCAATTTCTGAAACAAAATTTTAGTAACTCCATATTGTTCCAGTCATGATGGAAAAAACATGTAAATAAGCAAAATTTTGAGATGTAGCATGGTTCTCTTGACCACTAAGTTACAAGGTAATGACACTCCCAAAACAACCAGCAGCAATAAAAGAGGGGAAAAGGGCAACTGCAAAGGACTTAGTGTTTAAGTACCTGCCATATTTCAGCAGTCTTCTGTCAACAGGCAGATTCTTTGGGCTTCTGTACTAACAGCACCACCTCCTGGTCAATGCACTAAAAAAAACCCTTAATAAAAATCTCGTTACAACCTACCAAAAATTCTCTTTTAAGCTCTGTCAAACCAATTTCTAAATAATGCCACGCCCAGTGCATCAGATCAAATTTTAGTCTTCTCCTCCTCCCCACCCTCTGCCCTCCAATTTCAAGGATACCGTTCCAAGTCAGAGTACACATCTCACTAAACTGCAATGGCTACAATCCATACTGACACGTGTTTGCCATCATCTGATACCTACACTCCAGAAATCTTGGCAGACTTGCAATGAAGCACTGCAGCAGCAGTTCCAAATCACTGCTCTTGCATGATAGTACTGAAGACAGAACTAATTGCTCTTTTTATGTCTCTCTTACAATTAAACAACAGCAGAATGAGTTACTGCTGGTTTCTCATTATCATAGCTTCTTCAGGCCTCAGACAAGAAGATGACCTAACTTTACCAACATGGAGCTAGGTATATTACCACTTTAGTGGTGTTTAAAAACTCTGCTACAGTTCTATGCACACAATTAAAATCTAATTCTTCAGTAGAATGTTGCACAAAAGTTATGAAAAGGAAATTGGCTACATTAAAGCATATATACCAGCAGGTACTAACCTTTCATGGAGAAGAGCCAGTAGAATGAAACATTCAATGTGCAAGAGCTCATGAGTACTGAGAGGTAAATAGAGATAATTGACAGAGATAAACAACTTTGTATACAGCACCATATATGAGTGACATGGTCAACAAATGGCATTAGCTGTACACACTTTTATTGTTTCCCATCCCATTGTAAAAATCAGACTGTTAACAGATAAGTTTCTGGCACAGTGGAATCACCAGTTTGTATCCATTAGGGGCATAAGTGGACAAACTTTGCTGCACTTCAAAGCTTTACCATACCAGCTGCTTCTGAAGAAAGTTTAAGAGGAACTGCTGTGTAAGGCAGGTCTTCCCAATGCTTAGGTTTTATACTTGTAGAGACAGAGTTGCAGGCAATAAACTTATCCTACACAGGTAGGAAAAAACCGCATTGTGTAAAACAAACACATACAAAACAAAACAAAACACCCCTGGCAAGAGAAAACACTTTGTTCCAATCAACCTTGACAATGTGTACAGGCAAGGAGACATTCACAGCACTGGGGTATAGCTGTACCTATTGGGAGAGATGTTCAATATCTATCTATGACTCCTACATTTGGTTTAATAACAATGCTGTTTAGCATGCAAAATACCACTTCAGAATTCAGAAAGGTAAGGACTACTATTAAAAAGCTCCTGCTAATTAACTATGGCTGTTTTTCCAGCTGCTGCAGACCCTGTCAGTGCACTACCTGGAAGTTTGGAAACAGGAAGCTGGTGTAATGAACATGAAGCGATCCACAAACGCTTAGATATTATTGAGGAGGTAAGAGCTATTGGGCTGGCTCCTGGACCTTACCAGACCCTCTGCCCCATCTTTTTTACCAAAGGAAAAAAAGAATAGTTTTGTTTCTAGATACTGTCCCTTCTTAATATTATTCTATTCAAGGTCTGACCTTTTTTTTCAGATGTCATGGTTTGTAACTATCCTTAAAGCCATTATTACCAGAAACATATATAAACCTAATGAATTTCAAGCAGCTGATGAACCAATCACTGAATATTACATATCAGCCTTTTCTAAAATGGTTATAACTGTGTCTGTAAAATAACAATCTCAGAACTGATACTGGTGAGGTTTCACATCTACTCATGGCAAGATGTGAATTCTGCAGGTAACTCCAAGACTGACAGTGGAGTTTGTCCTTGCTCCTGCAGACACTAAGAGCTAAAAGAATTCTATGACTGGGATTCCAGAAAAGCTGCAAAGTTTTTATCTTTTTCCTGGTGTTTTAAGCAGTCACAAGATACTTGTCCAGTGCTAACTACTTCCAGCTGGGTAGCTACCAAACTGCATCCTGTTGGTTCTCAAATTACAACATTACCTCTCTCATGCCCTAGTTGCAGCCCTCTTCTTTCCACCCCATCAACTCCTCTCATGTTCCATGCAGATTCTTTTCTTATATATGATGGTGGATCAGAAATGAGAGAAAAATAACAACAAATTAAGACAAAGCTCCCTCCAAGAATTCAAGTTATGGGTGATTCTTTATACAAATGAGTTGTAATTTAACTCTTGCAAAACAAAGTTTTAATACCGCGTACCACTAGAGGGCAGCATAACACAAGAAATATTTAAATCAGCACTGCGCAATGTAAATTAAATTAGCTGTTGGCATTATGGGACATTAGATTTGCACTTTCATTCACACATTTGGTACAATTGCTTCCACTTCACCCTATGACTATGCCCTTTCTCCATTCGTCTCCTCTGTTTTCATTAGACAGTAATAAAAACAGTGGAGCATCTAGAGTCAGAAGTCAAGTCACTCCTCAGCATCATCAGTGAGACAACATCAAATATCCACATCACTCCAGGAACACCACTTATAGACTATTTTGATGGTAAGTATCTAGTGGACATAACCTCAGTTGAAAACAGTGTGCCTGTGTTATTACCAAATATGCTATCTTTTCTCCTCCCAAGATGTGAAGTAATTCCTTATTCAGTGCAGCTAAGACCTCAGTTGAAATACTGGGTCCAGTTTTGAACACCAGGTTTCAACAACCACTAAAAAGAGCGGGGGTAAGAAAAGGAGGAAAAAAAACCCCACCAAACAAACAAAATCCCAGCCAAGGAGTTTGATATGTGAGCTACACAGAAAGGTTGTTAAATTGGGGATGTTTAATCTAAAGAATATTGAAGTATACCACCAGAATGAGTGAGGCGGCCATAAAGATGAAAGCTGTGTTTTCTTTTCCATTGCAAAAGAAAACAAAACAAGAAATAATGCAGCAAGAAAGACACAAGCAAAACAAAATGCTCAAAAACTGCAGAGCTCTAGGACATTCCTTCTGCGATCTCATGAATCATAGTGACAATTTTCCACATTAAAGTAACAGGATTCATGTTTTAAACAATGTTTAGGTGCAAAGATTGATCCTGATCTTACAACCAAAAATAATTACACCAACTCTTCCCTATACAGATACCAGCTGAGCATTGCGAAGACAGAAGACAGCCAAATGTAACAGCAGGGTTGTCATAAACAGTTGCACTTTCATTCATTTAATAAGCTTGTGTTTCCAGAACTGCAGCAGGGATGAACAATCTTCAGCTGTAGTTTGCCTTCTGTGTTCCTGTGCTTTGTAATAAAAAGGTATTTGCTTTTAGACACTACTTCTAAGCTTTGTATTTTAAATCTTTCAGCAGGTCTACTTAATCAAAACTGCATTTCAAATACAGCACTCGGTAAGAAAACCAGAGTAGGTGGGGCCCAGGACTAAAGCACAGCTAAAGAACTTCCCTTAATTCAAAAGCTTACTCCTTCCCTGGAAAAGAAGTGAACCTTTGCTATTGGTGTAGATCAATAAAGATACACTTTCAGCTGCAATTTCCTCTCAAGATAGGCTTAGATTGTCAGACAAAAATGAGTGTATGGAGTAGTTTGGCTTTGGACATAGTCATGTTCCTGCCACTGACTGAACAGGAGTCCTACCTGCATGTTCTAGTCACAATTGGGCCTAGAAATTCATCATTTGTGCACACAGCCACCTAATTCTGATATCATTATACTTCCTTGCCATGGCAACAATGCAACCAAGATTAATTCCAACATCCAGCCCCAAGACACCTCCATTTTCTTCCATGACAAACAGCAACACAATATCTTCTAGGAAAAAGGACCTGCCTGACCTTTACAGGATGGTGTGAGTGTGTAATAAGAGAAGGCGTTTTCACCTTCTTGATTAACAAGCAGTCTATTTTCACTGACCTAGCTCCAAACCTCTTCCTCTCTTGTATGATTTTTTTCTTCATGTTTCTATTTTGAGAACTACAAGCTGAAGAGATGCCATCCATGCTAGCAGAGAATAAAACTTCAGAGTTCCAGGAGTCAGAGAAATTACAACATGCAAAATGAAAATACTGAGCAATAACTACAGATTACATGTATCATGTACAGACAATTGCTTATCAACAGCACACAAGTCCCAAACCCTTGTCAACACAACCATTTCTGAATAATTCTGTGGATTCAAGCAGAGTACTTCTATGGAAAAACATCAGCTGAGTCATCATTCACACACAAATCAACATGAACACCATAAAAGCACAGTGTGCAAAGAGTTAGAAGATAGACAGCTTTAATTTCATAATTCCTTCTTACGTGTGTATACATATATATATTTTGAAGGCACAATCCAAAACCTTAGAACATTAACTATAGAATCTTTACTACTGTCAACATTACTACTGCCTTGTGACAGTTGCCCTAGCGAGAATGAAATGTGGAACACATCTTCCTCAAGAATAATCAAGGAAAGAAAACAGAACTTGACAAAACTTCTTTAAAACAGTCTTAACTAGACACAAAACCTCAAGGCTGCTCTCTCCACGTATCAGGGAGTAGGCTAGTATGAAACCAACTCTGCATACAACTTACATAAACCTTGCACGAAAATGGCACACGTTTATACAAAATAAAACCTTAAATCATACAACTGTGATTTTGTTCCATAACACAAACATTATTTCAGCATAACACAAGCAGAAAAGAAATAATGACCTGTCATTCATGGATTGCTGAAATTACTATACAGAATCCTGAGCAGATGACACATAAGCTTGATATTTATATTTTTCTGGCATTTATTACCTGCTATTTTTTAACTGAAGGAAGATATATGCAATATTATCTTTAAAAATTTAATTGATTTAGGAGAAACAGGTCATTATGTATTTACTTGTGGATAAAAACAGATGCTTTAAAGCAAAAACATGAAAATAGCAGCTTTTTAAAAAAAAGCTCAATGATCCATTTAGTCATTTCCACCACACAACTTGAGTAGGATTTTCCGGTAGTCTCCTGAAGTATCACCCTGGAAAGAAATTCAAAAAAATAAAAGTTGAAGACTTGTACTTTGACAGAGAGGAAAAAGTAGTGTAAGAACCCTAACCACAACATTAACATCCAAAAGAGATGAAGCCAGGGCTGAAAGAAAGCAGATGCTAACTTCTTTTAAGAAGGAAAAAAACCTTAAAAACCTGCTAATTAGAAAACACTCTAATAGAAGTACAGAGTAAAATCTGCTTCTTCCATAACAGGAACTGAAAGTGTCTGTAGAGAATATACTTCTATAGCAAATTGAATTTGGTGTACTGATGCAACTACTTACTTGGGAATAGTTCAATAAAAAACTCTCACAGAAAAGTTGTCTTCCAGCAAAAGGTGTGAAAAATATGGGAAAAATAATACAGAAGTCCTTTTCCCTGAAGTCTATGTGGGTATTTTTACAGGGGCGGTGACTGACAGTTAACTATTATGTTCAAACGTTAAAAACAATGCCCCAATATCTTAAAATCTAAGGGTTTTTTTTTCCACAGAGAGCATCTCTTTCATGTTGTGGGCAGTGACAGTCAGTATGGATGCATACACAAACATGCATTGAAAAGACTGAAAGATTTGATGAAGAACAGAAATTAATCACACAAGGTCCTGCTAGCTAAGTTTTGCCTGGTGCTCTTACGAGTACAAAGTGTCTCCTGGGAGCTGCTCATTAAGTAGTTTTGTTTGATGTGGCTTGCTAAGCCTTTTCACAGAACAGTTTCAGCTAGAGCATTTCTCTCATCTTTCATCTTCAGGTGTGACTGAAAACTGTTCTGTCCAGATCAAAATTATTGCAATAGTGACTGAGAGATGGCTCAAAGATCAGGATAAATCCTGTACAGGTGTAAACCACAATTCACAAAATAGGAAACATTCCTGTTTATATATGTGCTGAAAGAACTGCTGTCCACTTACAAATAAAAAAAAAAAATAATAATTGAGAACTTACTTTCCAAGGATGTTTTCAGCTCTACATTTACAGAAATAAGAAGTAGAATTTACATGCATGTAACTCTGCACATGTATTCCCCATATTTACTGAAACCAAGTTTTGAATAAGTTCAGTCCATTAAATGGGTTTGGCCTGTTTTTGAATGGTAAAATTATTTTAATGCCAGATCAAAAGAGAAGGAAAAAGAAAAGGACAAAAAGAGACATACAACTTTTCCATCATTGTCTCACTGTTTTGCTCTCTCACACTGGTGGTTACAGGGCATGTAACTACCATAGCAGAAGCACATTTTCAGTCCAGAATTACACACTTGGAAAAAACTTCTGCTAGGTGACCCTCTGTGGTGCAGGGACAGAAAGACCATATTGTCGCTGGCAGAAGACTCTCATCAAGAGTTTTTGGCATACACTATTCTTCACTATCTCTGCAGGATTCCTTCCAAGTAGCTCCAAGTTGCAGCCTCTCAGTGTTAACAGCAAAAGGAATAAATAAGGGCTTAACAGATTTGGCACCTTCACTACAAGGTAAGTGAAAATGGCACCACTTGCTATCCTCTAGCTCTTAATTCCCTCCCCATGGGCCAGGTATCCTCTTGACATTGCTACAGCTGTCAATAGCAGTAGTAGGGTGGTTCAACTGCTAAAGAATCTGAAGTTTAGTCTATTTCCAAAATCTTGTACCTTCAAGAGAAAGAGGAGGCAATTATTTAAGAGTGTATTAGGAGCTTTAAACTTTTTCACCACACTCATGAAGTAGAGCAATATTGTTACTCAGTTGGAGGACTAAGTAGATTCTACAAGATCATACACAGAAATTGGGACAGAGATTAGACTTAAAACCAGGTCTCTGAAATTCCTCTTGACCAATTTCCCTTTCCTTCCTTGTCTGTTGGCTCCCTTCCGCTCTCCAGCTCATCTCACCCCCATGCAAAAGCCAGTGCTGTCTGTTCTCTGGCACTTCAGCCTCCACTCTTCTGCAGCAAACCAAACACAGCCAGTTACACTCAGTGCAGTTAATAGCTATTCAGCACAAGGATCCGAGTTCTACTTGCAGAAAGGATGTCACATCAGAGAAGATAAAATCCCCAAGCCTCACAGTGATATCTGAGTAGAGGGATCTGCCATACATCCGCTTGTATTCTGCACGTATGTCCAGCAAGTCAACCTCACTGCGTGACACCATGATTCGAATCAGAGTTCTGTCTTTTGTTCCCGCTCCCTGAAACAAACAAAATAGCAAGATAATGTATTAATAATGTGTGGAAATGCTGGATGATACAGCACTAGTAAAGAAATAAAATAAAATAAATCATCACCCTACAAATGGCCAACCATTTACCAGCATAACCCCATTGATTTCAATAAGCTTGGACAGAATTTGGCCTATCGTGCTTTAGTAAATTTACTGCTAGGACACCAACAGTCATTTCTCTGCAGAAGAGCAGTTAGGAAGAAAAAAGAGAAAAAAGGGAGCAGTTTGTCAAAGGGACGGGGGTCAGCAAAGTTTCGTAAGTTTAATGACTTATTTATTTATTTCACATAGACCTCCCTACTTAAAAGACAGTAACTTCAATGAATCTTAAGCATATTTGTGTTTCACCAAATGAAAACTTGCTTTGTTTAAGGTATGCCTGTCTTTGTTAAGTGGATCAAATTAGCTAGATTTTTCCAGCCATTCATAATAATGACTGCATCTTGTTAATCATCTGCCCACTGAAAAATATAATACCTTCACAGCTGAACAATTCATCACAATAAGCTGTACAAGCTTTTTCTTTTTAAAAAGAAACAACAAACAGAAACAAAAACACACTGTAAGTTTATGTATCTTGTCACAGGCACCTACCTTCATAGCTTTCTGCAGTCTCTCTGCAAAAAAAGCTGGCGTGTTCTTGAGGCACTTAACTGCAAAAAGAAACAGTATTGCAGAAATCAGGTATTTGTTCTCTGTCAGAGCTCACAGGCATTTTTTGAGCTTACCCTAGACAGTCACATGCTTTAATTTTTAACAAATATACACTTGATACAATGCAGATTCCACTCCTTTAGTTAGTCACTGAAATGATTTTTAATCCAAACAGTAGCTGCAATAAAGGACCGACTACACTTCATGGCTCAAAGCAAACTTTTCAGTCACTAGAAATCATCTAGCAGTCATAATAAATCTTAAGTCTAATGACCAGATTCTTGCTT